CACACACACACACACACACTGTTGTTTACATTGTTCTATTAATTTGAAATGTCCATCAACTTTTATCTTAATCAACTCATACTTAATTTAAGGCCTTAACACTGTGTATTTTTATTACTGTTATACCAGTAATTTGAACAGGGAAAATTGAATGTAAAGAATTATTAAGTAGTAAAAAGTGGTTAACCCTAAAAGGAATTAAAGGAGATTCCAATGGTACAGAAACAGTAAATACACACAGCAGCTACTCCTTCTGAGGATGAGGGGCTGAGAACAACGGTGGGTCTGATGACTTAGCAGAGCTCTTCCCATCCCCAAGACTCAGATGGTAGGCAGGACTTCCCTGGGAGGCTGGTGTTGGGGAGATGTGGTTGATGGCCAGAGAGACATTGGGCAGCCTGCTGAGTGGCAGAGGAACTTGTTGGTGGGTATGAGACCAAGCTAATCTGTAGGCACAGCCTATTGGGTGCTTAGTAGTCCCCCTGGAGAACCTCAGCTGGACCACAAAAGGTGACCACAGGTGGTGAAGGGTATGGGCTATAGTTGATCTGTCAGGTCCCTGGATTGGGCAGTTTCTGCTCTGCTGACTGTCTCTCCTGAGTACTGGAACTATTAAGGGAGACCCTGGCTTCTGTTTTGGCCTCACAGAGCCTTCCCCCCTCCCCCTGAGTCCTCTGCTAAGATAATCTGATACCTAGCTTTGGGATCAAAGAAGCAGTGAATTCAGAGCTACTTCAGGGCCTTGATTTACTAAGGTTCTTCACTGTGAGGGGCTAGGACCGTGACTCAGGTGGCAAAGAGCCTGACATGTAAGCATGGATTTCTGAATTGGGATCTCTATCACCTCATAAAAATTGGGTGTTGTGGTGTGCATCTGTAACCCCAGAAGTGGAGGAGTGGGGAGACAGGCAGATCCTTGGAGTTCACTGGCCAGCCAGCCTAGAGAATGGATGAGCTCCAGGTTCAGTGACAGATCCTGCCTCAAAAAATAAAGTGGAGAGTGATTGAGGATGACACCTGGCCTCCAGGTGCAGACGCACACACGTGTACATGCCCACACAAATACATACATATATATATATGTATACTATACACACACACACACATATATATATATATACATGCATGTATATATATATATACATGTATGTATATACACACACACACACAAAGGGAAAAAATAACCTTTGTAATGATGTAATTAAAATGCATTCAGTAAAAACAAAGCTTGGAATTTGATTTTCCTGGACTAGTGACACTTTGATACTGGGCAGTGGCACAAGTCACAGTTCTCAGCCAGCCACATGATCATGAAGGTACCAACCAATACTGCACAGTGTGCAGTGCTGCTAAGCCGTGATGCTTGGTAGGTTAGCTGTATTCACCTCATTTGTAACTCATGGAATGTTCATGGCTTGATTGGGATGGGCTGATCAGAATCTAACCCCATTGTAAGTTGAAGATCATCATCCACTTGTAACCAGACTATCTCGTCACCCTTCCCTCTGAGCTGAGTGTCTCCTCTAATTCCAGCCTTCCTGATTCTTTCATCTGAGTTCCCACAGTCTTTCTAATACTTGCTGCTAAGTTTTGCTCTCTATTTTGTAAGTAGCCTGTGAGATGTCCCCAGATAGTCAAGGACAAGGTACTGGGCCTACAGGAATATGTGGTGGTCTGTGTCTTTACTGGGAGGGGAGGAGAGCTGGGGTGTGTCCTCTTCCTCTCTTCCAGTCTGTGGCCTTTGGGTGTTAACTGTTCCCACTGCTCAACTCGAACCCAGAATAGTTTTGACATGGGGTTCATTAGAGTGGGCAGCTCTGTGCCAGGACAGCCTAGCTGTGGAGCATGAGGCTGGACCTGGTCTCTCTGCTGATGGAGTGGCCATGCATGCTTCTGTGGCTGTCATTTATTCTGCTTTTAATTATACACCATCTCTGCTGTTGGGTTGGATTCAGGGCTACTTATCCCTGCCGCAGATGGGCCTGGGGAGATGGCTCAGTTAAGTGCTTGCTGCTCAAGTTTGATAGCTATGTTTAATTCCCAGCACCTATGTGAGAGAAGCTGGGTGTGGTATTGACTTCTGTAATCCCAGCCCTGGGAAGGTAGAGACAAGATCCCCAGGGCTTGCTAGCCAGCCAGTTTAACCAAATCAGTGAGCTCCAGGCTCAGTGAGAGACCTTGTTTCAAAATTAAGGTGGAGAACAATTGAGATGGACACCTGATGTTGACCACTGTCCTTCACATGCGTGGACACACACGTGTACACACAGAGTTGTTTGTTGTTTGTCCATTAATAACTTTGCTTTTTTTAAAATTATTTTTTGAGACGAGGTCTCCCTATGTAGGCCCAGCTGGCCTCAATGTCACAGAAATCCACCCGCCTCTGTCTTCCCAGTGCTGGGATTAAAGGTGTGCACCACCATGCCTGGCTATAATGGCTTTAATTTTTATCCTGACCACAAGAACCACATTTGCTGCCTTTCTCACCTTAGAATTACAGCTTGGCCTTGATCAGATGTAGCCCTGATTCTCCCTAGCTCTACATGATCTACCATCTGGCACTGGCCAGCTTTGTCCTGTTTCCAGTTCTTTATGGTTGTGGGGATTGAACGCAGACCTTCCTGCATGCTAGGCAAGCATTCAACCAGATGAGCTGCATCCTTAATCTCCCATTCTCCAGTTCTTAAGAGAATCTCTCTGCCCCCAACTCTTTGACTCCTCTAGGGTCACCTACTCTCACAATTAGAATTAATTTCCTTCTCACTGCCTTCTGCCAGAGTAAAAGACTCATTGGTACTTCTTGGACCAGGTGTCTGCATCAAGGCTGGAGGGCTCTGCTGAGGTGGTAAAGCTGTGGGAACATAGGCTTCCCTCAGAATGGATTGAGGTGGGTGGCAGAGCCGTGCATCAGAGTCAGAAATGAATGGGTCTCTGTGGGCCTGAAGACAGCATGTTTCCTGGAATCTGATGTGGTGGGAGGTGGAGCCAGTGTTCCTGGATCTGGGACACAGGTGTTCAGAGCTGCAGTTCTCTCTCTCTCTCTCTCTCTCTCTCTCTCTCTCTCTATTTTTTATATAATGTGTGTGTGTTTGCCTGTATGTATGGATGTGTACAGTATGTCTGTGTGGTACCTGTGGAGGCCAGAGGAGGACATCGATCCCTGGGACTGGAGTTTACAGACAGTTGTGAGCTGCCATGTGGGTGCTGGGAACTGAACCCAGGTTCTCTGCAAGAGCAGGCAGTGCTCTCTTAACCACTGAGCCATCTCTGCAGCCCCCAGTGTTCTCAATATCTAAAGCAGCAGTTTGCTGTATGGCTCACTTGACCATTATCCAGGAGGACATTTCTTCCATCTTTGCTATTGGTTGTCCTTTAACTTTTCACATGGTTTTATTACTAAGTATGTCAGCATCCTTCTTGGTACTTGAGGGTGTAAGTTCATCCTCAGTGTTCATTCTCCTTTGTAATTTGTAGGTGGGAGCAGGTACCAGGTCCCCAGAGTACACCGGGACCCCTTGTCTCTTGCATTGTATGCAGGGCCCGTCTTGCCTCAGAAGCTTTTGCTCCTTGAAGACAGGGCCCCCCTAAGTTTTAAGACCTTCAGCTTGACGCTCAGCTTGGGTGCAGGTAGGGATGCCTTGTAGTTCTAGGACAGAGTAGCATTAGGGTGTAAATGAAAGGCCCATCGTTGACAACCTGCCCTGCTGCCTACTCCATGTGTGAGAGTAAAGCTCTAGATTTAAAGTGTTTTCTAGCCTTTCCTTGGAAGTTCATTTTTATTTTCTAAACAAGACAATTGAGTTTCTCATCCCCCTGTCTTTTAATTGAATTTTTGCAAACTTCATACAATATATTTTGATTGTATTTAGATCCCCTTCCCTATATAAACTCCCTTATGATCTCCCCAGACAATTTCATGTACTCTATTATATACACACATACATACACACACACAGACACATACACACACACACACACACACAGGCCTGTAGGGTCAAATTTGTGTCCTCAAATGTCCTTCTGTGTGGATCCATCCACTGGAACCTGGTTAACCTACCAAGAGTCTCACCCTTAAAAAGTGACTGACTGTCCCTTTCCCAGAAGCCATGGGTTTTCAATAGTTCTTCAGGTAGGGTTGGGGTTTTTTATCCACTTCCTCATGTCTGTGCTTAGCTTTTGTCTGACTTGATCTTGAGGTTCTCATCTTTAAAAGAACCAACTTGCCTCCCTGAGATGCTTCGAGGATTACCAGATGTGATATATATGGGCAGTTATCATTATTATTTGTTAGTGGTGGATTTCCAAACAAACAATCTGAAGGGTAGGTAGCAAATACATTAATTCAACATATGCTTGAGTGAGTCATTAGTAGATTGGACTTGGTTAATAGCTATGAATACTCATTTCTGGGGAGTGAGGCCCCAACTGAGTAAGTTTTGATGAAGGAGAAGAGACTGAAAGCATCAGGCTGTGTGCAGAGGCTGGCCTCAGTGTGATTGGAAGTGACTGCTGTGGGGACCAGGAATCTCAAGGACACCATTGAAGTAAAGGGTGAAGGGAGGGGTA